GGGGGGAGGAGACCCATGGTATGGAGAGCAGTGGGCATAACCTGAATCCGGGTCATCTGGGGGATGCTTGTCACTCCTGCAGATTCTGTCCAAGATGAGGAGGAAGCTGTCCTTCCATTGGTGGCTCTGGTGTGTGTGGTTTCAGATGTGGTGGACTGGTTCGGCCCCACATGGGATGTTGGGCCCAAGGTGGGGGCTGTTGTGATGTCCATGTCTGGGCCAGCCTGGGCCGTGCCCTTGTGCCTGTCAGATGTGTGGATGGCTGTGTGCCCAGCAGAGCTCTTTTCCCCTGCTAGCGTGGTCGGGGAAGATGCCAAGGTCCATGGGGAATGGTCCTCCATGTCCACTGTAGAGACCCCGGTGGATGTGGGTGTGGATTTGGAGACTGTGGAGTCCCCCACATTTGTTGGGAATAGCACAGTAGTAATGGATTGTCCTGAGGTGGTGGTCTGCACGCGGGACTCGGGTATTCTTGAGGAAGAGATGGAGGGGGAAGAGGAGGAGGAGAAGGAAGAGGATGAGGAAGACGAGGAGGCAGGATTTGTCTGCCCGGCTGTGGGGCCTTGAGATCTCACCTCCTGGGAAGGTGTGCTGGTCCCCAGGCTGTCCTTTGATTTGGTCACAGTTGGTGGCATTGACCCCAGTTGCAGTGTGGCTGCTTCGCTGGTGGACTGGAGACTCTCTCTGGTGGAAGCAGGCATGGAGAGTCTGTGTCTCTGTGCAGTGGGAGGCTGGGTAGAGGGGTAGATGGTGTCACTGCTGCTTTCCTTGGAGCTGGCGGAGCTGCTTTCCTCAACATCTGCAGTGCTGGGGGCAGAGGGCATCTCAAAGGCTGTGCTGTCTACAGGGCTGCTCCCTGAAGATGTGGGTTGGGGAGCAGCAGGGGTGGCCGGGGAGTTGGTTGTGCCAGAGGAGGAGACTGCTGTGACATCGGTCCCTGGGCCAGCCTGGAATGTGCCAGTGTGCCCACCCGTTGTGTGGATGGCTGTGTAGGCAGTCGAGCTGGTCTCCCCTGCTGGAGTGTTCCAGGCAGATGCGGAAGTCCCTGGGAAATGGTTCTCCGTGTCCGACTTGAGGACCCCCATGGATGTGGGTGTGGATTTGGACACCCCGGAGTGCCCCATGTTTAAGGGGTGCACTAGAGTAGTGGTGGATTGGCCTGAGGGAGAGGATCCAGATGCCAGTCCAGAGGTGGTGGTCTGCATGCTGGACCATGGGACTCCTAAGGAGGAGGAGGCAGGATTTTTCTGCCAGACTGTGGAGCCCTGAGAGCTGGCACTGTGGGTATGTGAGCTTTCCCAAAGGCTGTCCATTGAGGTGGTCACGGTCTGTGGCATTGACTCCTGTGTCAGGATGGCCTCCTTACTGGTGGACTGGGTACTCTCCCTGGTGGACGCAGGCGTGGAGATGCTGTGTGTCCATGTGGTGGGAAGCTCGGTGAAGGGAGAGCTGGTGGCACTGCTGATTCCTGGGGAGCTGGCAGGGCTGCTTTCCTGCACAGGTGCAGTGCTGGTGGCAGAGGGAACCTCAGAGGCTGTGCTGGACACAGGGCTGCTCCCTGAGGTTGTGGAGCTGGGAGCTGTAGGGGTAGCCAGGGAGGTGACTGCCCTAGAGGTAGAGGATGATGTGACATCCATGTCTGGGAGAGCCTGGGCCGTGCCCCTGTTCCCGCCCAATGTGTGGATGGCTTTTTGTGCAGTTGAGCTGGTCTCCCCTGCTGGAGCAGTTGGGGCAGATACCGAGGTCCCCGGGTAATGGTTTTCTGTGTCCGACTCAGGGAACCCCATGGATTCGGGTGTGGATTTGGACACCTCGGAGTCCTCCATGGTTGAGGGGTGAGGCAGAATAGTGGTGGATTGTCCTGAGACAGAGGAGCCAGATGCCAGTCCAGAGGTGGTGGTCTGCATGCTCGACCGTGGGACTCCTAAGGTGGAGGAGGAGGCAGGATTTGTGTGCCAGGCTGTGGAGCTCTGAGAGCTGGCACTGTGGGTATGTGAAATTTCCCAAAGTCTGTCCATTGAGGTGATCACAGTCTGTGGCATTGACTCCTGTGTCAGGGCGGCCGCCTTGCTGGTGGACTGGAGACTCGCCCTGGTGGACGCAGGCATGGAGGGGCTGTGTGTCCATGTGTTGTGAAGTTCAGTAGACAGGGAGATGGTGGCACCGCTGGTTCCTAGGGAGCTGCTTTCCTCCACAGGCTCAGTGCTGGGTGCTAAGGATGTCTCAGAGGCTGTGCTGGATACAGGGCTGCTCTCTGACGGTGTGGAGCTGGGAACAGCAGGGGTGGCTGGGTAGTTGCTAGCTCCCCAGGCTGTGCTGGCTGTGGGACCCGTGTTGCGGGGAACATTCGGTGAGTCCCGACTCACGGTCCTTTGGGGGAAGATGGTCACTCCTCCAGATTCTGGCTCTGATGGGGAAGAAGCTGTCCTTCCACTGGAGGCTCCAGTGTTCGTGGGCTCTGAGGCGGTGGACCACTCAGGCTCCACGTGGGATGTTCTGCCTGAGGAGAGGACTGCTGTGACATTGGTGTCTGGGTCAGCCTGGGCTGAGCCCCTTGTCCTGCCAGACGTGTGGATGGCTGTGTGCCCACCCAAGCTGGTCTCCCCTGTAGGTGTGGTGTGGGCAGATGCCGAGGTCTTAGGGGAATGGGTCTGCGAGGCCTTCTCCGAGAGCATGTTGGCTGTGTGCCCACCCAAGCTGGTCTCCCCTGTAGGTGTGGTGTGGGCAGATGCCGAGGTCTTAGGGGAATGCGTCTGCGCGGCCTTCTCCGAG